TTCCCAACATGGATATTCCTAACATGGATATTCCCAACATGGATATTCCCAACATGGATATTCCCAACATGGATATTCCCCAACATGGATATTCCCAACATGGATATTCCCAACATGGATATTCCCAACATGGATATTCCCAACCCCCCCCCCCCCAACCCCCCAAGCTGGAAACCCCAGGAAACGCAGGGCACACGAGGGTGCGTCTACCAAAAACAACTACACCCTAAACCCTGAACCCTAAACTCTGAACCCTAAACCCTAGCCCTAAACCCTAAACCCTGAACCCTGAAGTTGTTCCCGCCCGAGATTCCCCCACCTGCAACGCAATGGCCTTGCCGCAGAGGTCCTCCTGGCCGAGCCGAAGTCGAGATCTTTCGAGGGGTTTAGGGTTGACAGCCTCAATATTAACCCTAAACCCTAAAAGCCATACAGTAAGGTCCCCGAAGGGTGGGAGGGGGGTGGCGGGGGGACGGGAGGACTAAAGCAGACCCAACTATGGACCGAACCGATCCCCGAATCCTCCGCCCCCCAAAAACGCCAGAAAACAAAGAGTCACCTAGGAATTAAAACGGTGCCCTATTTGGTTCCAAGGCTGAGCCGTAAACAACCCGAAGCCCTAAAAATCCCTAAACAAACCGTACACTTCATGGATAGGGTTTAGGGTTTAGGGTTCAATGTTTAGGGTTTAGGGTTTTGGGTTTTGGGTTTTCATTATGGATTTACCGCGCGCGCGACGCAGCTACATGCAAGCAGCAGCATGCAAGCAGCAGCATGCAAGCAGCAGCATGCAAGCAGCAGCATGCAAGCAGCAGCATGCAAGCAGCAGCATGCAAGCAGCAGCATGCAAGCAGCAGCATGCAAGCAGCAGCATGCAAGCAGCAGCACGCAAGCAGCAGCACGCAAGCAGCAGCACGCAAGCAGCAGCACAAAAGCAGCAGCACGCAAACAGCAGCGTGCAAGCAGCAGCACGCGAGCAGCAGCACGCAAGCAGCAGCATGCCAGCAGCAGCACGCAAGCAGCAACATGCGAGCAGCAGCATGCAAGCAGCAGCACGCAAGCAGCAGCACGCAAGCAGCAGCACGCAAGCAGCAGCATGCCAGCAGCAGCACGCAAGCAGCAACATGCGAGCAGCAGCATGCAAGCAGCAGCACGCAAGCAGCAGCACGCAAGCAGCAGCACGCAAGCAGCAGCATGCCAGCAGCAGCACGCAAGCAGCAACATGCGAGCAGCAGCATGCAAGCAGCAGCACGCAAGCAGCAGCACGCAAGCAGCAGCACGCAAGCAGCAGCCCGCAAGCAGCAGCACGCAAGCAGCAGCACGCAAGCAGCAGCGTGCAAGCAGCAGCATGCAAGCAGCAGCATGCAAGCAGCAGCATGCAAGCAGCAGCATGCAAGCAGCAGCATGCAAGCAACAGCAGCGTGCAAGCAGCAGCATGCCAGCAGCAGCATGCAAGCAGCAGCATGCCAGCAGCAGCATGCCAGCAGCAGCACGCAAGCAGCAACATGCGAGCAGCAGCATGCAAGCAGCAGCACGCAAGCAGCGGCACGCAAGCAGCAGCACGCAAGCAGCAGCACGCAAGCAGCAGCGTGCAAGCAGTAGCAGCGTGCAAGCAGCAGCAGCGTGCAAGCAGCAGCATGCAAGCAGCAGCAAGCAAACAGCAGCATGCAAGCAGCAGCATGCAAGCAGCAGCATGCAAGCAGCAGCATGCAAGCAGCAGCAAGTAAGCAGCAGCATGCAGCACAGCCGTAAACCCTAAACCCTAAACCATAACCCTACACCATAAACCCTAAACTAAACCCTCAACCCTGAACCCTCAACCCCAGGCCTGGCATCAGATCGGGGTGCGGAGCTACTTGTGAGACTTCCGGATGTTTGGGGTTTGAAGTTTCAGGGTTTCGGGGTTCCCTAAACCCTAAACCCTAAACCCTAAACCCTAAACCCTAAACCCTAAACCCTGTGCAAGGGGCCGAGCTCATTGCAACCCAAAGTCTCTCGTTTCACGAGGAGGGATCACGTGCCGGGTGGTACTTCTTGAAGTTGCGGAAACCCCCAGCTTCAGTTCCCCTAAACCCTAAACCCTAAACCCTAACCCTAAGTTCGCCGCTTCCAGATGGCCCAGCCCATCTCGCAGTTCTGCCATCGGCTCCAGTAGGTTTCCCACCTCGCACTCGTGTGCCCGCACGAAGGGCACGTGAAGAAAAAGGAAGGAAGACAATCCCAGGGGGGAGCTGGAGGGACCTGGTCCCACTGGTCCCCTAAACCCGAAACCCTAAACCCTAAACCCTAAACCCTAAACCCCCTCTGGAACTGCCTTCTTCTTCTTCCTGGGCTGCTGCTGCTCCTCAGTCCTGGGCTTCTTGCGGGGGCCCTTCTTCTTGCCCACTTTGCGCTTCTTCTTCGTAGCCTTCTTCTTGTTCTTCTTCTTGTCGCTGTAGCATTTAGGGGCTTGCAAGGGGTTTTAAACCCTAAGAAACAGGGAATAAGGGCCTACTCTGGGTCCTAGATACTTGGAGATTCATGGTACTTAGTAACTCATTACAACTGCACGTATAATCCACTTGTAAGCCCGTTAAGTGCCCTAATATATGGTGATAAGTACAGTAAGTACAGTTATAATTAGTAAAAAGTACCCCTAAACCCTAAACCCTAAACCCTAAACCCTAAACCCTAAACCCTAAACCCTAAACCCTAAACCCTAAACCCTAAACCCTAAACCCTAAACCCTAAACCCTCAGTGCCCTGAACTCCTGAACCTCCAAGTAAGGAAAGGAAGCATCACGGCCTTGGGGCGCTTGCGAAGGGCTTAGGCTTTAGGGTCTAAAGGGCTTAGGGTTTGGGGGGCTTATAGGGTTTAGGGTTTAGGGTTTAGGGTGTAGGGTGGAGGGTGTAGGGTTCAGGGCTTGGGGCTTGTCGTCTAGGATGTCCCCCAAAAAACCCTCTGAGAAAGATTCTTAGAATCCTCTCAAAACCCAACAAGGGAAAATTATCAAGTTTGGGGCTTTCAGGGTTTAGGGTTTAGGGCTTAGAACCGCTAAACCCTAACCCCGAAACCCTAAACCCTAAACCCCAAACCCCAAACCCTAAACCTTACCTAAACCCTAAACCCTAAACCCTAAACCCTAAACCCTACACCCTAAACCCTAAACCCTAAACCCTAAACCCGCCTTGGAGATGGCGATGGGCAAGATGCTCATCGGGATGCCTTCCAGGACCTCCAAAGAAGCCGCGGTTTAGGGTTTAGGGTTTAGGGTTTAGGGTTTAGGGTTTAGGGTTTAGGGTTTAGGGTTTAGGGTTTAGGGTTTAGGGTTTAGGGTTTATTGAAATTATTCAGGGTTCAAGTCCTGGGAAAGTTTCGAGGAAAGTTTCGAGGAGTTTCGGGGAGTTTCGGTTTTTAAGCCTTTGAACAATTTCAAGTTACAGGGGGGTTGAGGGTTTAGGATTAAGGGTTTAGGGTTCAGGGTTTTGGGGTCTAAGGGCTTAAGGGCTTAGGGGTTTAGTGGTCTAGGGGTTTAGGGTTCAGGGCTTCAACCCTCAAGCCTAAACCCTCAACCCTCAACCCCTGCACCTTGGTCCTTCTATAAAGTACTTCGGCTTTGGGGACTTCTCCGGGACACGCCTCAGTTCCCCCTCGGCGTTGGGTTTAGAGGTTTGGGGTGTAGGGCTTAGGGTTTGGGGCTTAGGGATTTGTGGTTAAACCCTAAACCCTAAACCCTAAACCCTAAACCCTAAACCCTAAACCCTAAACCCTAAACCCTAAAGGGGGCCTAGCAGGATGTTGTGCCGGGAGCATGTTCATGTTACATTCCTTGGGGGGCGACGCTCCCTGCCTTGATTGATTAGGGTTTCGGGTGTAGGGTTCAAAGTTTAGGGTTTAGGGTTTAGGTTTTTAGTTTGTGTTTGGGTTTAGGGTTTAGGGTTTAGGGTTTAGGGTTTAGGGTTTAGGGTTTAGGGTTTAGGGTTTAGGGTTCAGGGTTTAGGGTTGCTTTGCATCGGGTATTCAAGCGTCGGGACAAAGTAGGTAACCCCTTTCCCTCTTATCTACTCAAGTGAGGAAGAGTACTGAATACCCTCTCAACTCTAATAACCCTGAACCCTGAACCCTAAACCCTAAACGATACTATACTCCAACCGAATATACTCCAAGGTGAGGGTGGGGAGAAGTTTGGGGGGGGGGGGGGGGATATTCGGGAGCTGCAGTCCCGGTTGTTACCCAGAAAGCCAAGAGCACTTCAGTAAGTGAACCTTACACTATCATCCAGAGCCTTCAATCTTCCTTACTCGAGAAGCATTCCGTAAAGCACATGGTCCCTACTTTGATTCCAGGAATGTTGCGAATTCTGGGGTATCAGAGTCTCTCAGCATAGAGATTCGGATCATTGTAGCGATTTCAAACCCAAAACCCTAAACCCTAACCCTAAACCCTAAACCCTAGTGATTTCAACGATAGTGGGTTAGTGGGCTCTTCGGGCAAGTTCCCCAATGAACCTGGAGGTGAGGTACCTCTCCTAAACCCTACGTAAACCCTAAACCCTAAACCCTAAACCCTAAACCCTAAACCCTAAACCCTAAACCCTAAACCCTAAACCGCTCCTTGGGAGTTAATTTACAACAGGGAACCCTCAAGTACCCTAATAGGGCTACAATTGGGTTATAAGTACAGTTATGATTGGGTTCCTAAGTACCATGAGCCTCCAAGTATCCTACGCAAACCCTGAGAAAGCGGGATAAGGACACGACCAGGGAATCCTACCTTCTCTTGCGCGCCTGCGCTGCAAGGTACATGCTTCCAGGCATTCAGAGTGAGAACTTTCATTTGCTTCAGAACTCCCCCAAAAAAGAATTAAGAACAATAAGCCCTCCACATTGCCCCAATAAGGATGAATACCCTAAACCCTAAACCCTAAACCCTAAACCCTAAACCCTAAACCCTAAACACTACATCCCTACTTGACTTTTTGGGTGGCTCCTTAAGCAAGTCGTAGAGGACGGGGGCGCGCTCAGCGTCGCGGGCGCGCAGTCGCGACCGCCGCCCCGTCCAGCTGGACGTTGAAAACTTCGAGGATGGACTTCCCAAAGGACTTGATGTCCTGTACTTTTTGGGTTTAGGGTTTAGGGTTTCGGGGTTTAGGGTTTAGGTTTAGGGTTCTTGGAACCCTAGCAAAGATGACAATAATTTTGCTGTTTCTTAGAAATTAGAGTACCCCAAAAAGTAAAAAGAGTTTCCTCGGCAAGGGCGTCGAAGTCAGACATCGTGCGTTCGTGGTCGAGCCGCCTCCCGCCGTCGATGTGAGGCAGGCTCGGGTGGAGCTGGGTCGCAAGCGTCACGTGGGTGCCTTCGCACCTTACTGTTGCTTATGAGTCACTTATGAGATACCCTCTATAATCCCTTAAAGGGCATATAATAGGGGGATGTAGGGTACCTGAAACCCTAAAACCCTAAAACCCTAAAACCCTAAAACCCTAAAACCCTAAAACCCTAAAACCCTAAAACCCTAAAACCCTAAAACCCTAAAACCCTAAAACCCTAAAACCCTAAAACCCTAAAACCCTAAAACCCTAAAACCCTAAAACCCTAAAACCCTAAAACCCTAAAACCCTAAAACCCTAAAACCCTAAAACCCTAAAACCCTAAAACCCTAAAACCCTAAAACCCTAAAACCCTAAAACCCTAAAACCCAAAAACCCTAAAACCCTAAAACTAAAACCCTAAAACCCTAAAACCCTAAAACCCTAAAACCCTAAAACCCTAAAACCCTAAAACCCTAAAACCCTAAAACCCTAAAACCCTAAAACCCTAAAACCCTAAAACCCTAAAACCCTAAAACCCTAAAACCCTAAAAACCCTAAAACCTAAACCCTAAAATCTAAACCCTAAACCCTCAGGCACTTGATCTCCAGCTCCTGTCGAGACTGCCGTGTTGGCAATGGCAGATCTGCGTCATCGGCTTGCAGGATGCCACTCTTCAGCACCATGCCTCTCCTTGGCGTTTAGGGTTTAGGGTTTAGGCTTTAGGGTTTAGGGTTTAGGGTTTAATTTGTGTTTAGGGTTTCATTAGATTTTAGGGTTTAGGGTTTAGGGTTATAAGGGGACCCTGAACCCAAGAAAAGGGCAAAGGGTACCACTGGTTTCCTATACTGAACTTGGAACCCCAGCAAAAATTGCATTTGTTTGGCTGCTTCTTAGGAAATAGACCATCCAGAAATTCAAAACTATTCCCAAGCAGGCCTTAAGTTTCAGAACACGAAGACTTGCCGCGGACAGGAAGCACTCCTTCCGAAGCATCTTGCCCTGGAAGAAGCCTCCCTGCAAGAAGTCGCGCGCGAAGCGGAACCTCCCACTGCTGCAGAACTCAAACTCGTGAAGCTCGTGGTCCTCTCGGAAATCTCTCCTGGCAAAATACCTCACATAGAAGTCGTCGGACGCTTCCACCATTCCTTGGTTTAGGGTTTAGGGTTTAGGGTTTAGGGCTTAGGGTTTAGGGTCCGCCGACCCTGGCGGCGTGTTGGATGGGCAAAGGAGGTGAAAACCTCCGTCTTTCCCTCCTTACCCGCCAAGGGGGGGGGGAGGGGGGGGGGGGGGGGGGGGGGGTCGGTGCACATTTTTTCGTGGAGAAACCGCACCACCCGCCACAGAGTAAACAAAGGCCGTCCCACACCCCCACTACCCCACCCCCACCACCCCCCCCCCCCCCCCCCCACACACCACCCCCCCTCCCCCACCCCCCCCCCCCCCCCCCCCCCCCCCCCCCCCCCCCCCCCCCCCCCCCCCCCCCCCCCCCCCCCCCCCCCCCCCCCCCCCCCCCCCCCCCCCCCCCCCCCCCCCCCCCCCCCCCACCCCCACCCGCCTCCACCACCCGCTCCCACCCCCCCCCCCCCCCCCCACCCCCCACCCCCCCAACCAACCCCCACCCCACCCCCACCCAACCCCCCCCACCCCCCCCCCCAACACCCCCCCATTCCCACACCCCCCCCCCCCCACCCCCCCCCCTTGCTTGAGCTTGTCCTGGCCCCTAGCCCCACCCAAACGTTTCACAAAACTGCCGAGCAGGCACCATGCGAGCGGGTTTAGACCTCTCAACTATGCTCCAGCAGGGTCGGCGGCTTGAGCCGGAGGCTCTTAAATTTAGGGTTTAGGGCTTAGGGTTTCGGGTTTAGATACCCAGGATTCCTGAAGCAAGGGGTTTTAGGCTTTCTGGGTACGAGCTGAACCCCGAAACCTCACAAGCCCCTACTTGGAGGTTCATGGTACTAACCAACTATAGCCTTGACGCTCACACAAGATTCAGGGTTAGGGGTTAGGGGTTAGGGTTTAGGGTTTAGGGTTTAGGGTTTAGGGTTTAGGGTTTAGGGCTTAGGGTTTAGGGTTTAGGGTTTAGGGTTTCAGGAGCCCCTTGTTTAGGGTTTTGAGTCCCTTATAAGTTATAAGCCTCCTAAAACCCAAAGGTTGCCCTTTTTATTCCAAGGTTGCTCTTGGGTCTACTTGGAGGTTCATGGCACTTACTAACCAATTAAAGCTGGGCTTATCACCCTACTTATAAGTGGGATAACCCCTATAGGCCCTTTAGGGGTAGTACAAGTAGGGTTCTAAGTACAGTTATAATTGGTTAGTAAGTACCATGCACCTCCAAGTAAGCCCCAAGCACCGAGCAAGCATCCAAGAACCTAGCAGGTCCCGAAGCCCTAAGCCCTAAACCCTAAACCCGAAACCCGAAACCCTAAACCCCAAACCCTAATTCCGGGAGCCCGTGCGTTGTTGTGGTGCAGGGGTTTTCCCAACACTCCAACTGGGTATCCTAAAGGGTCCATGTACCTACATAGTCAAACAGAGCCTAGGGTTTAGGGTTTAGGGTTTAGGGTTTAGGGTTTAGGGTTTAGGGTTTAGGGTTTAGGGCTAGAGTGTGTACTTGGGCCTCAAAGGGGTTTCTATAGAGTAGCTTGAGGGCGCATGGGCCCTTGGGGTATGGAATAGACCGGAAAGGAACGAGGAATCCTTCGTGTGACTTAACCTACTCGTCCTTAGTCTAGACCCGGGAGTAACCTAGGAATAAAAAGGGCACCCTTTTTGGTCTCAAGGGGGGGTTATAAGGGAACCCCAACCCTAAAAAAGGGCCTACTCCCGGTCCTAGTAGTAGGGAATGAGGGAAGTGGGCACCTCACATCCCCCTATTTGCCGAGATTATATAGGGCACATACTTACCTCACTCCCGACGAAGAACCAGCAAGCTAAGAACTACATCCTTCATTATAATGTCTTCCGGGTCAAAGGATAGGCTTGAAAAAGAAACATACATGCCCGCGATCACAAAACTAAAGAAAACGGGATCAAGACAAACTAAACGTTCGCTTGCCTAGGCCCCGTGCGCACTTTCTGGTGTTTGCAGGTGGAAGTCGTCTTGTCCGCCGAGGTCCCGTCCACTTTTCAAGGCTTGCATCGCTCTTTGTAATGAAAACGCGCGTGGTTTCATATGTTTTGGGCCGTGGGACGGTTTCGCTTCACAAGGCCACTCTACTCTCCAGGGATTTGCAACTCGCGATGTTGGAAATCGCGCTCCCACCTCGGCGCCATGCGTGTCGACGTCGGCATCCTCGCAGCTGTCGTTTCTCTTGGACGTACGAGTTCGCGAAGTGCGAAACGGTCGTCGCTTTTGGACGTCTGGGTTCGCCAAATGCGCAACCCACTTTTGGGCGGCTTTTGCATGTCAGGATACTTAAACCCTAAACCCTAAACCCTAAGTCCTAAACTCTAGGCGCAGTGTGCATCGACTTCGCCATCCTCGCAACTGTCATCACTTCGGACGTGTGCCTTCGCGACGTGCCAAGCCGTCGTCGATTTGAAGCAGCACACCCATTTGCAAAGACAATGCTCGCCTGATGGGCTTGGAAAGGATTCATGTGATGTCCAAAGCGTCTTCGCTTGCTATATTTGGATGCTTTGCTTCGTGGTGCATCCTTGCTTACTACGTGCGGTTGTTTGGCTTACTGGCACGTCTTCGCTTACTGCATGCGGTTGTTTAGCTTTCTAGGCCGTCTTCACGTACTATATGCAGTTGCTTTGCTTCTTGGGGCGTTTTCGTTGACTATATGAGGATGTTTCGTCTTCGCTTATTGTGTGCGGTTGCTTTGCTTATTGTCACGTCTGTTACTTACTGCACGTGCTTGTTTCGAACTCAACTGAAAAGTTGGCAGCGCAAGCGTGCGCTCGTAGAGACAGCGATCTGCGCCGCTATCCAAAGCACGCGATTGAGAGAAGAAAGACGAGCCAACACTCTCAAAAACTGCTTCGGACAAAAAGGCTGGTAACTTAAGACCCCAATTCAATACTGAAAAACATCCCACATGTTGGGCTGTCCCCCCTTGTACTAACGGTCCTTAATCGGATTCTACTAGGGGGTATGAGACTCCCTATTAAGGTCTGTAAGTAGAAGTGGGAACATCCCAACCCAAATGTGTTCCTCATCTTTGACAAAACATCTTGAGCCCTACAAGCCCGATAAACCCTAAAAAACCCGGTAAGCCAGCGCTAGGCAACCCTATAAGATGCTGTGCTGAGATAGACCTAAACCCTAGACCCTACACCCAAAATCCTAAGCCCTGAGCCCTAAACCCTACAAACCCTGAACCCTAAACCCTAAACCCTAAACCCTAATCCCTAAACCCTAAACCCTAAACCCTAAACCGAGAGGCTCAGCTCCAGGGTGCGCTTCGAGGAGCCAGGCGGCTCCACGGCTGAGGCGCCAAGGTTCTTCAGGAGCTCGCCGTCCTGTAGCCTTGGGGGTTAGGTTTAGGGTTTAGGGTTTAGGGTTTAGGGTTTAGGGTTTAGGGTTTAGGGTTTTGGGTTTAGGGTTCCTATAGCGGGCTCAGGGTTTAGGATTTAAGGTTTGGGGTTAGGGGTTTGGGGTTTAGGGTTTAGGGTATGGGGTTTGGGGTTTGGGGTTTGGGCTTTGGGGTTTGGGGCCTTAGGGGTTTTGGGCCTTCAGGGTTTAGGGTTTAGGGCCTTTAGGGTTTGGGCCTTTGGGGTTTAGGCTTTACGGCTCAGGGAACCTCATCAGGTCCCCCAAGAAGAAACCCAGGAAAACACGACCCTATATAAACACTAAACCCTAAGCCCTAAACCCTAAACCCTAAACCCTGACGACCCCAAACAAATCCGCGCCCAAGAAAATGACTCTAAAGCCCTGAACCCCCAAAACCCCTAAAAACCTAAAGCCCTCAGCCCCAAACCAAACCCCATTTGAGAGAGAGAGAGAGAGAAAGAGCACCAGGCCACAACAAAAAGAGGCCCCGGACGCAGAAACAAATAGGGCTAGGCGTTTAGGGGTTCCCAGCTTTGGGAGAAAAACCATAATCCCCAAACCCTAAACCCTAACCCTAAACCTCCCTTAGACACCCCATACCAAGTGCAGGCTTGCAGCAGCTTGCAACCCAGGAGGAGCTGCCGGCCGGAGGGAAGCCTTTGCTTAGCTGCAAGGGTTTAGGGTTTAGGGTTCCAGGTTTAGGGTTTAGGGTTTAGGGTTTAGGGTTTAAGGTTTAGGGTTTAAGGTTTAGGGTTTAGGGTTTAGGGTTTAGGATACAGGGTTTAGGGTTTAGAGTACAGGGCTTGGGGTCTTGGGGTTTCGGATTTCACCCAAGACCACCAGTATCCTCAATGAAGGAAGATCTCGTACTTGTTTGTTGAGCATCATTCGCAAGATATACCCAAAGCGCCCAGTACCCGTTAAATAAGGAAGATACCTGAAATCACAAGAGGGATCCTCTTATCACTTCAGGTATATTCCGTATTCTCCATTGTCAAGGGGTATTGGGCTCTTTGGCCTGAACCTAAAACCCCTAAACCCTAAACCCTAAACTTCAGGGGTATTGGGCTTGTGGGTATGTCCTTCTAAGTTGGGCTCGCCGGGCACTTCCAGGCATCTTCTCGTGCCTCTCCCGAACGCCCTAAACGGGACTTGGGGCGCAAGACAGAAGACCAAAGAATCAGCTTCTACTTCCGGCTTCAGGAAGTTAAGGCTGGATCTTTACAGTATATAATATATATATATATATATATTATATATATATATATAGTTGTGCCATTTTTTTCTTTAGGGGGGGGGGTGGGCTTTCTTGCAATTTGAAGATGCCCATGCTTTTGCTCAAGTTGAATCGGAGCCTGCAACCACAAGTTCTCATATTCCCCTGAACCCCCATCCCTTATGAGGACCCTATACTGTTTGGGTTTTAAGGGTTTAGGGTCTAGGGCTTAGGGTTTAGGTTTTGGGGTTTAGGGTTTAGGGTTTAGGGTCTAGGGTTTAGGGTTTAGGGTTTAGGGTTTAGGGTTTAGGGTTTAGGGTTTAGGGTTTAGGGTTTAGAGATGAAGAGCTCCTGCCAACTCTGTCCCGGAAGCAGTGAGGTGGCCCGGCCGGTCAGGTTGGAAATCTCCTCCTTCACCTTGACATGGGGTTCTAGGGTTTAGGGTTTAGGGTCTAGGGTCTAGGGTTTAGGGTTTAGGGTTCAGGGTTCAGGGTTCAGGGTTTAGGGCCTTTAAGGTTTTAGGGTTTAGGGCCTTTAGGGTATAGGTTAGTTCTCCAATTTTTCCCCTCTTCTAAGGGTGCCGCACTATATGGGGGACCCAAAAAGGGGGGGGAACTACTCAAAGTCGGGAGCTAGCCACCCTTCCTTTGAAGGATTAGACGGAAGACATGAAAGCACCAAATCTCTACCAAACACTAGAAACCCTAGAAACCCCAGAAACCCTAAACACCCTAGAAACCCTGAACCCTAAACCCTAAAACCCTAAAGCCTAACCCTAAACCCTAAACCCTTAACCCTAAACCCTAAACCCTGAACCCTGAACCACAAACCCAACAATGCTAAGAACCTGCAAGTCGCGTCCGCGATCGACCAGCTTCCAGCGGCCTTGAAGGTGCAAACGAGACTCCCTGAGACGGCGTTCAAGACCTGGTTTAGGGTTTAGGGTTTAGGGTTTAGGGTTTAGGGTTTCGGGTTTCGGGTTTAGGGTTTAGGGTTTAGGGGTTAGGGGTGTTTGAAGGATTTGGGGGTCAACGGCTCTTCATTGGGAACCCTTATCTACCCGAGATGTCCCCTACATAGCCCAAGGGCCCATTCTTCAGAACTGAACTAAACCCTAAACCCTAAACCCTAAACCCTAAACCCTAAACCCTAAACCCTAAACCCTAAACCCTAAACCCTAAACCCTAAACCCTAAACCCTAAACCTAAAGAAAGTAAGGAACCCTGCAGTTGACCCTCCTAATCCTAAGCCCTTAGCTGAAGCCCAAACCCGAGTCAATCAAACCCTCAGAGCGGTTTCGGGTTTAGCGTTTAAAGTTTAGGGTTTAGGGTTAGGGGTCAGGTTTAGGGTTTAGGGTTTAGGGTTTAGGGTTTAAGGTTTAGGGTTTAGGGTTTAGGGTTTAGGTTTTAGGGTTGAGGGTTGAGGGTTTAGGGTTTAGGGGTGAGGACTCTGAGGGTTTCGGGTTTCCCCCTTACCGCTTCCCCCCGCCCCCTTTCACCTCCACGTCGGTTGGCAAGTCGTCCCCCTCCGGTGTCTCGCGCGCCCGGCGCGGACTCCTCGAGCGCGAGCGGCGGCGCGCCGACTCGCAGCGCATCATCCTGAAGCCTGAAGCCCTGAAGCACTTTAGGCTTGGGGGCTTAGGGTTTAGGTTTTCGGGCTTAGGGTCATTTAGGGTTTAGGCTTAATTCGGGGTTTGGGGTTTAGGGTTTAGGGCTGAGGGTTGAAGGTTTAGGGCTTAGGGGTTTAGGGCTTGGGGACTCCCAAAGCCTACGAAAGAGGGTCCAGAGCTGAGGGCTCAGGGATCCAGCAAAGGCCCCTCACTCTCCCGGCGCCTAAGAATTCATGGTGCCCTTCGTTATTTCGTTCTTTCCCTGAAGGGAAAGGGTTTAGGATTTACGGCTTAGGGATCCTGCTAGGGTTTAGGGTTTAGGATTGAGGGTTTAGGGTTTAGTTTGTTTTTTCTTTTCTGATTTAGGGTTTAGGTTTAGGGTACGTACATACATACATCGTACAATATTTGACATACGTATACTTCTACGTGATGTGTGCTCTGTATTTGCTTACGTTGGATCTCGAAACACGTCTCCAAAGGGGACAGAAGCTTGAGCCAAGAAAACCAAGCGACTGAAGGAGTGACCCGTATAAGGCACCTTAGGAATTTCTGAGGGGCTACTTAGGGGCTACTTAGGTATATAGGCGGGACTATATAATTAAGGTATATAAACCCTAAACCCTAAACCCTAAACCCTAAACCCTAAACCCTAAACCCTAAACCCTAAACCCTCCAGGGGAATAAGATTAAGGGTCCCTTCTGGGGGGTCGCTCCTTAAGGTTGGCGCGGTCAAGTCGCAGCTTCAGGTGTCTCAGGGGCGAAAGTTCCAGTTAGGGTTTAGGGTTTAGGGTTTAGGGTTTAGGGTTTGGGGCTTAGGGGCGTTTGTGAAATTGTTTGTTGGTGGTTTAGGGTTTAGGGGTTAAAGGCTCTTGCCTAGACACCAAGCCCTAAACCCCAAATCCCAAGCCCTAAACCCTAAACCCTACTACCCCAAACCCCGATCCCTCCAAACAAACGCACAACTCAGGTGTCCAGGGCCCCGCTCCTGCGAGCGCCGCTGCTCGATGAGGCGATGGAGCTCCTTTTCTAGCCCTACATTGCCCTTATAAGTCAAAATATTCTTTCTTACAAGGGCAATATAGGATTGATATTTGTTACTTTCCAAGGGTTCTTAAGCAAATAGTAGTTTTGCCTGGCAAGGTTTTGGGGATTTCGGGTATTTGGGGTATTTTGGGTTTGGGGTGTAGGGTTGGGGTATTGAGGGTTTGGGGTTTGGGGTTTAGGGTTAAGAGTTTAGGGTGAGGGGTTTAGGATTATATAAGAGTATAGGGCTTGGGCGTATTTAGGGTTAGGGTATTTACTGTTTGGGGCTTAGGGTTGAGGGTTTGGGTATTTGGCGCATTTAAGGGATTCACGGCATTAACGGCATGTAGGGATTGCAAGGTTTCAGGGCTTTGTAGTGGGGAATTCGGGGGAATTCGGTTGGGAGTTCAAACCCTAAACCCTAAACCCTAAACCCAAGACCCAAGACCCTAAACCCTAAACCCTAAACCCAAAACCCTAAACCCTAAACCCGAAACCCTAAACGGATGACAGGCTCCTGGCGCTCTTCCGGCAGGCGATTTGGCATCGCCAGGGCGTGCCTCACTGCAGCAGCCTGCCGGGACGCAGCACATGAGTGGCTTCGCTAAAATAAGGCCCCTTTTTGGGGTCCCACTATTCTTATACTTATGTATATATATATATATGTATGTGTATATATATAGATGCATTGGCTCCGAGAAGCTTCGGAACTGGGGGATTCGGGTTGAGGTCTCGGCTTAAAGGGTCAAGATGACGGGGGTCACGGCCTGGGCCCGTGCAGCAGCGATCCCTGCATCCCGAAGCCAGGGACATTCCTCGAGTTCACGTATCATGTACAAATACCTGTAAACCCTAAACCAACAGGCCTTTTTGTCTAGAGGCTTGCAGATCCTCCTGCAAGCCTTGGGACGATTTATTCTGGTACTGTTCAGGGTGCTGGCAGAGTGCAAGCAGAGCACGGCGGAACAAACTCTGCACAAGCACCCAAGAAGTCAGGCTAGACTTGGAGCAGGACCAGAGCGACCGAAGCTCAGAGACGGCACCTTCAACCACGAAGTGCATGGTTCCCCAGAAACCCAACACCTTGAACAAAACAACCCTAAACCCTAAACCCTAAACCCTAAACCCCAACATCGGAAGTGCCTTGACCGGCAGCACCCGGCAGTCCGTGGCAGCGCGCACGCGGGCCGGAAACGTGTCGACAAGGCCTCCCACCAAAGGGAGGCTTAGGGTTTAGGGTTTAGGGTTTAGGGTTTCGGGTTTAGGGCTTAGGGTTTAGGGTCTAGGGTCTCGGGTCTGGGGTTCACTCTTCCGCATTCGGGAGAAGCTTGGGTGGCTCCTTCCTGAGTTTCCAGAAAACCTCGCCAGCATACGCATGAGGGCACTCATGATGCCACTGGTGGTGCCAGCAGCTGCAAACGCAGCGTGTCGGATCGTTGGAGGGCCGGCACACCAATGCATGTTTGAAGCAAAACTCCTCGAATGTCTCGGGCACAAACAATGCTTCGCTGTGTCTGTCGCATCTTCGCTGTCTCCTTCGCATCTTCGGGAGGTGTGAGGATTCCGAGTTGAAGCAAATGGGTTTCAAGATGATCCACGTGCCTGATCTGAAGATGATGTGCCATTTGTTTGGCTTTTCCACGTGTGACAGCACAAGGCTTGTAGAGGCCCATTGCCACACAAAGCACAGCTTCCGTCCCTCATGGACGTCGATGTATTTGGAATTGGGGCGCCTCATGCTAACCAGGATCGTGCGAATCATGCTAGCCAGGATGGTGCGAATCGAGGTCATGAAGAAAGTTTGCCTGGTCAATTGGTGGCGTGGTACCACGTCAAGCGGAAACTGCTTAAGAACCAGGACGAACGGTTTAGGGATCTATTCAGGGATGATGAGTCTAGGGTTTAACTCCCACCTCCCTCCCATAAAGGCCCTAGACTAGACCCGGGAGTAACCTAGGAATAAAAAGGGTGCCCTTTTTGGTTCTAAGGGGATTATAAGGAAACCCCAGCCCAAAAAAAGGAAAAAGGGCCTACTCCCGGTCCTAGTAGATCGACCTGAATCCGAAAGCACAGGTTCCCCAGTAGCCTAGGACTGTTCAAAGGCTTTACCAGACCCAGGAGTTTAGGGTTTAGGGTTTAGGGTTCAGGGTTTAGGGTTTAGGGTTTAGGGTTTAGAGTTTAGGGTTTAGGGTTTAAGGTTTAGGGTTAGGGTTTAATTAGGGGTTACCTGGGAAAAAATACGGTGCCGTTTTTTTGGTCTTAAGCGGGTTATACGGGAACCCCAACCCTCAAAAACGGACATGAGGGCCCACTCCGCGTCCTAGTTTAGGCTTTTCGGGCTTACGGCCCGTGGCAACCTGGGAACAAAGGGGTGGCCTTAGCGATGTTGGTTTTCGACTACATGTGGTCTACTGGCGAAAAATGGGGTGACATTGAAGACAACAAGAATTTTGTGCCTCTAGGCATCCCAGAGGGGCTTGACTGCGGTATAGGATTAAGGTTTAGGATTAGGGTTTAGGATTAGGGTTAAGGGTTAGGGCTAAGGGTTCGGGTGTAGGGTTAAAGTCTCCCACAGCTTAAGAACCCTGGGCCACTTGAGGATCTCCCACCCTTTGATCACAGAAGCCCTTATGAATCATAAGAAGGACCCCTAGAGTTTAGAGTTTAGGGTTTAGACTGATTAAACTCAAACCGTGCACAAAGGGCACCCTAAACACTAAACCCTAAACCCTAAACCCTGAACCCTAAACCCTAAACCATTTTTTACCCAAGCGTGCCTAGGACCACCACCTCTCCGAAAGAGGAGTTGGGGCCATAGCTGCCGATGCAGCTGCCATTCTGTGCCTGGCACGTGCAGGTTGGAGGAAAAGTTTTGGGTTTTGGGAGTTTAGGGAGTTTAGGGAGTTTAGGGAGTAGGGAGTTTAAGGAGTTTAAGGAGTTTAGGGACTTTAGGGACTTTAGGGACTTTAGGGAGTTTAGGGAGTTTAGGGGTTTAGGGTTTGGGGGTTTAGGGTTTGTAGTACTTAGGCTACTTAGGGTTTCGGGGTTGGGGGTTTGGAGCTTGGGGTGTGGGGGCTTACTTGGAGGTTCCTGGTACTCAGTAACCCAAAATTAATAACTGTACTTATAACTGTGGCCTCGGTATCTTGGTAAACTTGGAGCTTCATGGTACTTAGTAACTGTACTTGTAACCATATGAGGCACTTAGGGGGCTTATAAGTGGGTTACAAGTACAGTTATAATTCGTTGCTAAGTACCATGAACCTCCAAGTAGGGTTTGGGGCTTGGGGTGTTAGGACGCCCTGAGCCTCCATACAGCAACCATCGACACTACGACCTTAGCCAACCCCCCAAAGCCATGATAGACCCCTTACATGCTTGAACCCTAAACAAATATAACAATCATGAAACCGGAACCCTGAACCTTAAGCCCCTACACCCTACACCCCAAACCCTAAACCCAAAACCCCAAACCCTAAACCCTTACTTTGGTACCCTTACTGTGTGAAAAGGGTATGATGAGCGACACCCGAACCTCAAAAAAGGGCACATCCAAAGTAACTCTCATATGAGGCTGTGTTTCGGGTCTGCGGGTTAGGGGGTTAGGGGGTTAGGGGCTAGGGTTAGGGTTTAGGGTTGCGGGTTTAGGGTTTAGGGCTTAGGGTTTAGGGTTTAGGGTCTAGGGTCTAGAGGTACTTGGAGGTTCATGGGTACTTGCAAGTAGGGTTACTAGTAAGGTAACTATACTGAGGGTCCTCATAACCCTACTTATATAAGTAATTAAGAGCCTCCAGCCAGGGTCGGCCACTTAAACCCTGGCTCAGACCGTAAAAGTCTACACCCTACAGGCCCTAAGCCTAAGCCCTAACCCTAAGCCCTGAACCTTGAACCCCTAAAAGGGATTGAGACTCGTGCCCCCCCTAAGGTTGTACCCCTAAAGGCTTCCCGTTTCTTGTACTCCTGACCTGGCCCTTATCTTCCCTTGGAGGATCTTTGAAGAGGGTCCAGGGTTTAGGGTTTAGGGTTTAGGGTTTAGGGTTTAGGGTTTAGGGTTTAGGGGTTAGGGTTTAGGGTTTAGGGTTTAGGGTTTAGGGTTTAGGGTTTAGGGTTTAGGGTTTAGGGTACAACCTTAGGGCTCCGAGGCAGAACCCCACGAACATGAACCCGGCCTCCACCTGTGCTTCGCCCTCAAGCATGACCTTGGGGTTTAGGGTTTAGGGTTTAGGGTTTAGGGTTTAGGGTTGAGGGTTTAGGGTTTAGGGTTTAGGGTTTAGGGTTTAGGGCTTGTCGAAGTGATATGGGGGGTTTCCGAAATGAGGGGGTCCCCTTCTTAGGGGTCCTTATTCTAAGGGAACCCTACTGCTTGGGGGTTTATATTAGAAGTCCCTTATTTTCGTAAACTCCCATATGCCTGCTGGTTTCCTGGTAGGGAAAGAGAGAAACTACTAATTGCTTAAGAGCCCCCCAAAAAAATCTAAATGTTCTTCCTTATACGGGGAATATAGGGATTACCATTGTTATTCCTTTGGGGTTCTTAAGCAAATACTAGGAAATGAGTTGCAGTACCTCATATGACCCCTCCTCCCAAGACCGGACGCGCGGACACCAAGGAGTCGCCCCGATGGCGACGTCCATCTTTACACCCAGAGACTCCAAAACTCCTGAATTAAGGAACATACCTTAAATCATGCTAGGGCTTTTTTATTATAATTAAGGGCATAGTCCTCAATTAAGGGGTTTTGGAGTCTCTGGTCAAACGTGGGCAGAGGGCTTAGGACCTAGAGGGTGTTGCCGGATTGGGGGGGCCGAAGGGCTCAGGGCCCAGGAAAAACCAAGCCTTGGGCTGAAAACGCTTTCAGCCCTAAACCCTAAACCCCCTAAACCCTAAACCCTAAACCCTAAACCCTAAACCCTAAACCCTAAACCCTAAACCCTAAACCCTAAACCCTAAACCCTAAACCCTAAACCCTAAACCCTAACCCTAAACCCTAAACCCTAAACCCTAAACCCTAAACACTAAACCCTAAACCCATTTCCTGCTTGACGCTCATCTGAGAGCACCGCGAGCATTGCGTCTGTCTCCGCCGCCTTCTCGATGATGACCTGGACTGGAGTCTCCTTAACCCTAAATCTTGCGGAATGTACTGCATGTCATTGGTGCTGGTATTCCAATTGTGCAGGATACTTTTGTCCTGAGAGTGGGTGTCAGAGTACAGGTGCCTGGAATTCGTTTCAGACCACGGAGGTCCTTGGATGGGTCCTTCTATCAGTTAATGTTGACAGGAGGGGGCTACTGGAGAGCAGTACGTCATCCTTTCAATACGAAACTCCCCTTTATTGGATTGCCCTTTACAGCTTGGTGATCCATCTGAAGTTTGGAGATCAGCTGAGAAGGCCCACAGACAGGCCCGATAGTGATCTCTGTATGTATATCTTTGTCGTTGGCGTAGTGGCTCCACATGTCGAGTGCTTCTGGATCATCGGATGTGCACGATATCTTGCATAAACCCTAAGCCCCAAACCCTAAACCCTAAACCCTAAACCCTAAATTATCCGTAAACCCTGAGCTCTTCCTAGGATGGCCCTGTAAACCCTTTGCAAAATTACTCCGATGCACTCTTAAACCCAAACGAGGGAAAAGCTACAATATCCCAAGAGCCCACCAAACCTTTTAGGGTTTAGGGTTTAGGGTTTAGGGTTTAGGTTTTCGGTTTTCGGGTTAGGGTTTAGGTTTATAGGGTTTAGGCACCCTAAGCACAAAGCACTAAACCCTGATAAAGTGTTCCGAAAATCGGGGTAACCGTTTTGGACTACAGAGTCGCTGCAGGTCAAATTAGGGTTTAGGGTTTAGGGTTTAGGGTTTAGGGTTTAGGGTTTAGGGCTTAGGGCTTAGGGCTTAGGGCTTAGGGTTTAGGGTTTAGGGTTTAGGGTTTGGGGACCCATGCGTTGAAGATATTGCCCATTTATGGACCCGGAAATACGGTGGGCAATAGAAAAGTCCCTAAAGCCCTGAAGCTCCAAACCCTACACCCTGAACCCTAGCACCCCAACAGCCTAAATCCCGAAACCCACAACCCTTAAGCCCTACAACCCTTATACCCTTAAACCGTAAATCCTAGAGCCCTAAACCCCTAAACCCCTAAACCCCTAAACCCCTAAACCCTAAACCCTAAACCCTAAACCCTAAACCCTAAACACTAAACCCTAAACCCTAAACCCTAAACCCTGAACCCTAAACCCTAAACCCTAAACCCTAAACCCTAGCCCTAAACCCTATAAACCCTCTCCGGCCTCCCCTGCGTAGTAGGGTCGGTCGATCAGCTGCGCGGCCAGATCTTGGAGGAAGGAGTCGGCCTGGGATCGAGGGGCTTTTGGGTTTTATGGGGGGGTTTAGGGTTTAGGGTTTAGGGTTTGGGGTTTAGGGTTTAGGGTTTAGGGTTTAGGGTCTAGAGGGCGTCAGGGACTGTTGGGCTTTGTGGAGGGTTTAGGGTTTCGGGTTCAGGGTTTAGGGAGCCCCTACCTTGAGAACCCATAACCTCCCTTCTTGTAGGTTACCAAGGAATCCTACAAGGGCCTAATCACAAGAGCCTACAAACAGGTAGGTTTTTGGGCCCCTAAACGCTTAATCCTTAACCCTTAATTAACCCTCAACCCTCAACCCTAAACCCTAAACCCTAATCCCTAAACCTAAGCCCCACACACCCTGAATCCTTATGTCGAGGAGGCGGCATAGAACTTGAACAAGGGAATGGCGGCCAGCGCTGGCACGACCTGCGCGCAAGAGCGCTCTCTGGTCAGAAGGATGAAAATCCCGATGCTTGGCTGCCCTATTTAGGGTTTATAGGGTTTAGGATCTGGGAGTTAAGGGCTTGGGGTTTGGGGCTGGGGGGGGATTCAACAAAAAATCGAGAAACTTCAGGAAGTGCTGGTTGTGTTGTAGAGCATTCTACACAAGTGACAGGTGGGTAGGGTACAAGGCATGGTGCTCAAAGAAGCACTGCCGCATTGACCACGCTGTGAGATGTAATCCGCCGAGGCCTCGGGCCGGAGGTGTATAGGTTGTCAGAACAGGCACCCCCCTCCAACCCACACCCAAAACCCTTTTTCCGACCCTTTTTTGGGCCTCAAATGGGTACCCCCCCTAAAAAAAACCGGGGTCCGCAAGCGGACGGTTCGCCAGGACCAGAGGCAGTTGAACCCTCCCAGCAGGGCCCCCCGCCCAACCCCCCCCCCAAACCCCCCCACCTCCCACCCCCCCCCCCACCCCCCCCCCCCCTACCCACCCCCCCCCCCCCTCTCCCCCCTCCCCCCCACCCCGCCCAAAAACCGCCTTAAACCTTAAGGGGCCTGGCTCAACCCTACGATCACTCCAAGCCGAACCCTAAACCCAAAAAAACCCTCAACCCCAAAGCGTGAACCTTGAGCCCTAAACTAACCCTCAACCCCAAACCCCAAACCATAAACCATAAACCCGGAACCCTCAACCCTCAACCCTCAACCCAACCCTTATTGCTTGGGGTCCAGCGACTTGGGCGCTGCGGAATCACCATGCTCACGCGGATGCGCTGGGCCGGGCCGAGGCGGGTCGCGTAGCGTTGAAATTAAAGCAGACACTCGTGACCGAACGATCAATCTAAACCCTAAACCCTAAACCCTACAAACCCTAAAACCCTAAAAACCCTGAAACCCTAAAACTTAACCCGAACGCTCGACCTCTGACCAGAACTGCTGCCTCAGCCCTTGCATGGCCACCGGTCCAAAAAACAATACAGCCAAAGTTGAACCCTAGGTCCTTGCCCTGAAATCTACATACACACGCACTGCTGCGGTTTAGGTTTAGGGCTTAGGGTTTAGGTTCAGGGTTTAGCGCCCGGCCTGTCTACGGCTTAGGGTTTAATGTTTAGGGTTTAGGGTTTACGGTTTAGGCCCAAGAGCCCACTACCATATTTAATTGAGGAATACAATAACTGACACCTTCTTAACCCCTGAGCCCTTTACAGCCTAACTAAACCCTAATTTGCTTAAAGACCCTTCGCTGCAAACTCTCAGAAGATCTTTGAACACTTTAAACCCTCAGACGCCCTCTGAACCCTCAAAATCCTGAAAACCATTAAATCTCTTCAAGCCCCCTCAAAACCCTCAGCAACCTTCGAGAACCCTCAAAACCCTCAAAACAAACCCCAAAACTCTTAAAGCCCTCAAAACCCTTAACCCTTAACCCTTAGCCCCCCTCCCGCAAAAACCCTCAAAAACCTTCAAAGCCCTTAAAACCCTGAAAAGCCTGAAAACCCTTAAAGCCCTTGAAGCCTTCAAGCCCTTAAACCCTGAACCCTAAACCCTACACCCTAAACCCTATAAACCCTAAACCCTATAAGCCCTAAACCCTGCACCCTAAACCCTAAACCCTAAACCCTAAAAATCCTAAACCCTAAACCCTAAACCCGAAACCCTAAACCCTAAAAATCCTAAACCCTAAACCCTGCCCTTTACAAGGGTTCAAAGGACCGAAGCCGCCCACCACAACTTTGTGACCTACTGCAGAATGTTTCGGTTTCTTCGAAGGGTTTTTGGGGTTTTAGGGTTTTAGGGTTTTAGGGTGTTAGGGGTTTTAGGGGTTTTAGGGTTTTAGGGTTTTAGGGTTTTAGGGTTTTAGGGTTTTAGGGTTTTAGGGTTTTAGGGTTTTAGGGTTTTAGGGTTTTGGGGTTTTAGGGTTTTAGGGTTTGGGGTTTGGGGCTTGGGGCTTCAGGTTTTTGACTTGGGGCATTCTGGCAGCTTCAGGGCTTCAGGGTCTCTGGGACCTTAGGGCTTTAGAGCTCTGAGGGCTTCAGGGCTTTCTTAAAGTTCAGGTCAGTATCTTCGGGGTTTAGGGCTTAGGGCTTTAGGGCTTGGGGTTTTGGGTTTAGGGTGTAGCCGAACTCAGACGACTTCGCACCTTCTCTTGAATCCACTTGTTGTGACCTAAGGCACGCGACACCTAAAACCCCTAAACCCCCTAAACCCCTGAACCCTAAACCCTAAACCTGAAACCTCAAACCCTAAACCCTAAACCCTAAACCCTAAACCCTAAACCCTAAACCCTAAACCCCAAACCCTAACCCCTAAACCCTAAACCCCAGCCCTAAACCCTAAACCCGAAACCCTAAACCCCAACCTGAAACCCCCAAATAAGCCCTTAGGATCCACCTTGCGAGCTGCGACGCCAATCCCAGGGTAGTTACATGGCATGGTAACTGAATATGGACCCTGAAATGGGAGGGGCTTTTGGGGGGTTTAGGGTTTAGGGCTTTTTTTAGGGTTTGGGGTTTAGGGTTTAGGGTTTAGGGTTACTAGAGAGGGTTTGGGGTTGAGCGTTTAGGCTTTCAGGGCTGAGGATTTAGGCTCTCAGGTCTTAGGGTTTAGGCTCCCAGGGTTGAGGGCTTAGGGTTTACATGGCTCAACTTTACCCTAAACCCTAAACCCTAAACCCTAAACCCTAGACTCTAGACCCAAAACCCAAAGCCCTGAACTTTACTGGTTCTTTGTAGAGGAGGAGGGAATCATCCCACACATATCGCTGTGGCGTACCATGCCCTCATTCCCTGCTGGAACCACTAGGTAAGCCCCTAAGGCCCCAAAGCCAAAACCATCCAAACCCTGAAAGCCCTAACCCTAAACAACCAACGTAAGCTAGGAGGCATCGTGCAGTTCTTCTAGGCCATGAAGCCCCACAAGCCCAAAAGCCCAAACCCCCAAAACCCCCAAAAGCCTAAATCCTAAAACCGCAAAACCCTAAACCCTAAAACCCTAAACCCCTAAAGAATCTAACCCTAACACCCTAAAACAGAAAAACAAATAGACCCTAAAACCCTAAACCCCTAAAGAATCTAACCCTAACACCCTAAAACAAAAAAAAACAAATAGAACCCCCATCGGTGTTGGTTGCAGCTTCAAGGCTCAATGGCTCTTAAGGCATTTGAATGGAGTCTATTGGGTTTTTAGGAGTTCTTGGGAGTTCTTGCCGGGTTCTCTAAAAGTTGTTAAAGGCCTTTTCAAGAGGTTTTCAAGGCTTTCTGCTTCTATCGTTTTGCAGGTTTAGGGGCTTGGTGGATTTTCGTGCCATGTTGCGGTGCCTGCTGGCGGTCCCTGAGGCCCCGGGCGCCTCATGAACTCGACGTTCGCTTCAGATCGACTGGCAATGTGCTGTGTTGTTAACGCCCGAAGCGGTTTAGAGTTTAGCGTTTAGGGTTTAGGGTTTAGGATTTAGGGTTTTGGGGGGGGAGTTGGGGTTTAGGGTTTAGGGCTTAGGAAGCAACACCCATTCTTCCTGCTTTGTGCGGCGCAGAACGGGGTGAAGACAAAGGGAACAAGGCTGCCACTTGTGGTCGTATT